TTTTGTTTGTTTTTGTTTGTTTGGTTGGTTGGTTGTTTTGGAAAGGCAGATTTACAGAGAAGGAGAAATAGAAAGAGCTTCCATCTATTGGTTCACTCCCCCAGGTGCCTGCAAGGACCAGAGATGATCCAATCCGAAGTCAGGAGCCAAGAGCTTCTGCTGAGTCTCCCACACGGGTGCAGGGTCCCAAGGCTTTGGGCTGTCCTCCACTGCTTTCCCAGGCCATAAGCAGGGTGCTGGATGGAAAGTGGAATAACCAGGACATGAACTGTTTGCCCATATGGGATTCTGGCATGTGCAAAGCAAGGATTTAGCCACTGAGCCATTCTTGCTTGACTCCAGGACCCTGCCTGCCCTCCAGAGCTCATGGTGCCACATGCATGTCTCATTTTCCTGTGGCTTTGCTCGTTTTTCTGGAAAGAGAAATGAGGTAAACCAGAACCAATCCTCTGCAACAAAGGCCTGTCACTCCAGAAGCAGCAGGTGAGTTGCATGGACAGGCTTCTAAATGCCCAGGCTGTGACAGGCCAATCGGAGAATCTTTGTCAATCAGTCCCCAGAACGGAAGCGGGTCGGAGTTGGGGAGAGTGGGTGGCACCCTCACTTGGCAGCAGGAGGAGGAGGGGTATCAGATGATAAGCCTTCTGCTTTTGCATCTGACATTGGTCACTCAAGGAAGGCATTGTTCCTATCATTAGACCAGGCCATCGGAGTTGGTGCAACACATGCAAGGCACACCACCTTTCTGAGTTCTTTCTGCATCTGCTTGGCTGGGGGCAGAGGGACTGTCCCTGGGAGGCTAGGGCAGATGAGAAATCCGGTAACAGCATAGCCTGGAAAACCCAGATTACACAAACCTCACAAGCAGCAGCGCCTGAGGAGGAAGTCACAGGGGCTGGTTAAAGGGACAGCATCTTCCCTCCTAGGTGAGGACAGGGGCGGTACATGGAGGGCAGGTACGGTGCCTTGGTTCTTCCTGTATCCACCTCCTGCTCCTCTCTCCTTTGGTCTAGGCTGGTTGGCAACTGCAAGCCCTCCACAGCTCTTCCTTGCCAGGCACAGCTCATTAGCTGTCTGGAGTTTCCCAGCTGTTCCCTCGTGAATGCCACACCCAATGCAGTTGCAGAGGCAGTTGCAGAAGCCACAGCTGATGATAAGAGGAAGAGCAGTCAGCCTGAAGAGGCCGACATCAGCTTGTGATTTCCGATGCTGATGCCATGAGGCTGAAGCTGATAAGCAGGTGGCCACGTGCCTGACTGCTGTTGCGCCTTGAGCCTGCAGGGGCTCAGACATTATTCCTTTATCCTCTCCCAGCTTATGACCCTCTTTTGTGCATTCTCGCATTTATTCATTCAATTGCTTTATTCAAGGGACCAAACTTTCTCTCTGTGTGTCTCTTTTTTAAAGATGCATTTCTTTTTATTGGAATTGGAATGGCAGATTTAGCAAAGAGAAGGAGATGCAGAGAGAAAGCTCTTCCGTCCACTGGTTCACTCCCCAAGTGGTCACAATGGCTGAGGCTGAGCCAATCCAAAGCCACGATCCAGGAGCTTCTTTCGGGTCTCCCATGTGGGTGCAGGGTCCCAAGGCTTTGGCCACAAGTAGGGAGCTGGATGGTAAGTGGAGCAACCAGGGCATGAATCAGCACCCATATGGGATCCCCACTGTGCATGGCAGGTGAAGATTTAGTCACTGAGCCATCACGCTGGCCCCATTGGGCCCCTGATCTTCCTCTTAAAATGCTATTTTCCTGTGATAGACTGCTGAAACCTAGCCCCAGCTCATCTAAACAGATTGGGGCCTGGGAGAGGACTAGACAGGCATGTGCCGAAGAACTTCTAGTGTGGAAGTGCAAGGTGGAACGGGATTCCAGTCACATGTGCGTGGGGTGGGGTGGAGGGAGAGTGGGGGTGGGCAAGGTAGCATCAAAGGAAGTGGGAGGGGGCAGAGCTGCAGGGTGGTGACTGACTTGTCTGGATTTGGTCCTTAATTGTTTCCTTTTCAGAATGACATGTCTTAACAGAATACAGGCAAGTCCTTGCAGGAGAAAAAGAGCTGTGACTCCTCGGACCCAAAGCAGGCAAGTGACACAAACCCGATGCACACAGGTTTCATTTAAAAGGGGATGTGGTGTGTGGGGTCGCGTAGGGGAACAGGCCAGGAGCAGACTGAGCAGTGGGGTTTCAGGCACAGCTGAACCAAGGCGCTCATAACATGTTAGTTCTCTCTCTCTCTTTTTTAGGCTTTATTTCTTTTTCTTAGAAAGGCAGATATACAGAGAGGAAGATCTTCCATCTGATGGTTTACTCCCCAAGCGGCTGCCACAGCCGGAGCTGAGCCAATCTAAAGCCAAGAGCCAGTTTCCTCTTTCAGGTCTCCCACACAGGTGCAGGATCCATCCCAAGGCTTTGGGCTGTCCTCAACTGCTTTCCCAGGCAACAAGCAGGGAATTGGATGGAAAGCAGGGCCACTAGGATTAGAACGGGCGTCCATATGGGATCCCAACGCGTTCATGGTGAGGATTTTAGCTGCTATGCCATCATGCCATTCCCTATCTGGGCCATCTTACCTAGTGGGTGCACCAGGATGAGACCATGGCATCCAGGAGACTTTCCAAAGAAAGAGAGGTGTTGCAGATGTTTGGAGATGTCCAGTCTCATTTATTGCTAACCTTTTTGGGGTGCTGGTGGTGTGAACCAGCAAATGGGAGATCTTTCCTGCTGGAAGCCAGCTCCAGCCAAGTCTGGAACTCGAGAAGGGGGTGTGGAGTCGGCAAAAAGAGACATAGACACTGTCACTTGGTGCCCTCTGTCAACATTTCAAGAAGCTGTGCTTTTTATTTACTCAGACACATCACAAGCCTCTGCACAAACATTCATTGTCCTATGTTTTACTTATGACTAAGCCAGCATGCACGGATATTTGATTAATTAATTTTTTACTTCATGGTCAACCAGGTACTGTTAAAGATCAATCTGTATGTTACTATAATCAGTTTCTTCAAAGCAAGCCATTATTCATTCTTCATCAGGGCGACAGCCAGCACTCCAAGGCCAAGGCACATGCGGTTACCTACTAATTAGTAATACATTCCCACTACATCTCTGTTTCTACAACTTACCTATCACTCAATGGGAGAAACACACCAAAAGGGAAGACATAAAGATTCAAGACAAAAAGTTTCAAACATTAAATACCCCTAAAACTATAGGCTCTACAACCCCGCAGACTAACAGCAATTAAAAGCATATCCCGGGCCCGGCGCGGTGGCGCAAGTGGTTAAGTCCTCGCCTTGCACGCCCGGGATCCCATATGGGCGCCGGTTCTAATCCCGGCAGCCCCGCTTCCCTTCCAGCTCCCTGCCTGTGGCCTGGGAAGGCAGTTGAGGACGGCCCAAAGCTTTGGGAACCTGCACCCGCGTGGGAGACCCGGAAGAGGCTCCTGGCTTCGGATCGGCATAGTATCGACCCGTTGCGGCTCACTTGGGGAGTGAATCATCGGATGGAAGATCTTCCTCTCTGTATCTCCTCTCTGTATATCCACCTTTCCAATAAAAAATAATAAAAATAAATCTTTAAAAAAAAAAAAAAAAAGCATATCCCTATGATATTAACGAAAGCAACCTATAATTTCTCTAGCCAAAAAATTATAAAAGTAGCTAAAGCAGCTACATTTTCTATGCTCCAAAGAGTTGCAAGGACAGGCTAACCTTTAAGGTCACCGTAATTCTATTTATTGCTATAGCAGTTTCCGCTCATTCTCCCATCACTTCCATTAATTTTTAGGATATTTATCAAGCCATTTTCCAGAAGGCATGCTACATGTCTGGGCCAGATTCCGGGGCAATGGGTAAGCACACAATAAGGTGTCCAGAAACGGCATTGGCTTAATTGTGCTCCTGTGTGTAAACTGTTAAAGGCCCACTCACCAAGACATGATCAGCAACATTAACTCCCAGGCTCACATCAGATGCAAAAACCATCTCACAGGGGCAAACAGCAACGCCTCAATAGGTTACAGAATTCTTAGTGGGGTGCTTGAGTTTCACCCATGCAAAGGGGGTGAGACTGCATCGAGGCGGTTGGAGAGACATCTGCCAGGCCCTGCCATACAGCTGGAAGCTCCTGGTGGCCTTGCCAACAGGGGAGGAGGTACTTTCTTTATTCCCTAGTGTCATCCACACCCACTGCACAGACCCCAGCACTTTCCCACCCCTGCCAAGTGAAGCGGGGACACCCTTGGGAACAGAAACACTGGATATTCCTGAGGTGGTGACAAGCCTAGGTGCCGCTCCAATACACTGAGAAAGACAGAGGGCAGTTTTGGGGTAACACCCAGGTTTCTTTTCTATTTTAAGATTTATTTATTTTTATTTGGAAAGTCAGATATACAGAGAGGAGGAGACAAGAGAGGAAGATCTTCCATCTAATAGTTCACTCCCCAAGCGGCCAAAACGACTGGAGCTGAGCCAATCCAAAGCTAGGGGCCAGGAGCTTCTTCCGAGTCTCCCACATGGGTGCAGGGTCCCAAGGCCACAGGCAGGGAGCTGGAGCGGAAGCAGGTCGTCCAGGATTAGAATCGGCACCCATATGGGAGCACTTTAACCGCTACACTACCGCGCTGGGTCCAACAACCAAATTTGTATTCTAAGAGAAGTGGGATTTGTTGGGTGGGGACCATTAATGAACTTGCCTGGGACACAGTGCCTGGGGGACATGTGGCTGTCTCAGTTGGGGATGGAGGGTGGTGCACCGGCCTGGAGCTCAGCACCAGAGGTGGGAGGGGGTAGGGATCCTGCTGCAGTGCCGGCACTCTCTGGACACTGGTGCTCACCGTTGGCTGCACCAGATCAGAATGAAGAAGCACCCGTGACCCAGTGACCGCAGACTCTTCTGTAGAGAGGGCCTCGGAGGCCGCAGGATGTGCCTGGGAGGGGCTTCGAGGGCCTTGGGGAAGGGGAAGGAAGAGGAGGGACAGAGCTCGCCGGAGCTATGCTCACACACTCTGCCGGTCTCCAGCCTGGAGGTGTATGAGCAAAGCCACCCTGTTTTCCTTGGGACTCTCCAGGCCGGTCCGTGGGAGGAGCTAGCCCATCGCTGGAGGACTTGGAAGCTGGATATCTGCGGCTGAGCCCAAGGTGGGTGCTGGCCCCGCGGAGTGGGGTGGGGGAGGTGGGAAATGGGACTGGGCTGGGCTGGGCTGGGCTGGGCTGAGCTGGGGAGGAGGAGGGGTGCTGGCAGTGATGGGGGACCCTGGGAGGAGGGTCATGCAGAGACTCCTGGGCCAGCCGAGCTATTGGACTGTCCACCCATTTTCTTGAGAGGACACAGTCTCTGCTTCCTACTCCTCAAACCGTGTACCTGCCAACAATGATAGGACCAATGCTACAGGAGAATGGGCCAATGTTGGTGGGGAATGGCATAAAAAGTACTTTGCATGTGCAAAAAATAAAGAAAGAAAAATAAAACCAAGAAAGAAAAGCAAAAGAAAGAAGCACTGAAATCCCTGCATACCAGGGTATGCCCAGCGCTGCAGTTACAACCATAGGCCCATTTCTTCCTCCTGAGCCCTTGGACGGTGTTTGTCATAAAGTCCATTGTGCAGGTCAGAACACCAAGGCTCAGGGAGATGAAGCAACCCTCCTAAGACTGAGGACTTAGGACTAAAGTGAATCCTATAGGATCCCCTGCGACCTCAGCCGTCCTGTTATCTCCTGATCTGGCTACTCCCTACCGCCCCCACCCAAGACACACACACCCCGCCATCACTATCACCAGGAGTCAGCATCTCCCACAGGTGCGGCTCCTGTGACAGATCAGGGCTCAGGATGTGAGGAGTTCGCTGTTGGGGTGCAGCTACGGCTCCAAGTGACTGAGGTAGAGGATGAAATGCCCGAGGGGGGAAAGGGAGGCTGGTGTGCCAGAGAGGGAGAATGGGAGAGAGATACCCCCTGCAGATGCGGGACCAGGGCCAGCTGTGGCCAGGCCAAACCCCAGGGTGGGGTGGAGGCTCCCTGACCGCCCCTCAGAACAATGCCCACCCCCTCACATCCAGGTGTTTCCTTCCCAGTCAGGGACAGACACAGCTGAGGAAACAGGCCCATCTACTGCCTACTGCCGGCCCTGTCCCTTACCACCACCACACCATGAGGGGGCAGGCTGCAGCCCCCTGGGGATGTCTCACAAAGTCTCCCCACATGCTTTATGGCCTGGGGCTGAAGGGGACCCCTCAGAGCTCTGCCTTCTCATTTCTCCCTGACCCCTATTTCCTATTCCAGTGGGAGGAGCATGTTAGGCAAACCCCTCCCCAAGGGCTCTGTCCCCTAGGCGTGGCCCTGTAGCCAGGGTATGTGAGCTAGGCTGGACAGGGGACCTAGAGACTACACCTCCCCCTGCACCAGTACCCCAGCCCAGCTTCCGCAACTCCTCCCCCTCAACCCCCCCTCTACTATAAAATTAGTCCCTGTGTTATGGTATACCAGATACAGCTATCAGATACAGTACACAGAAGGCTCCCATGTGTTTCTTTCCACTGAATACAAAGCACCACTTGTTCGTTTGTTTAAAGATTTACTTGTTAGAGATTTTCAATTCACTGGTTCATTTGTGAAATAGCTTGGCAGTGAGGCCAGGCCAAAGCCAGAAGCTTCTGCTGGGTCTCCCCATGTGGGCAGCAGAGGCTCAAGCACTTGGGCCCTCTTCTGTTGCTTTCCCAGGTGCATCAGCAGGGAGCTGGGTCACAAGCCAGCAGCTGGGACTCAAACCAGAATGCGGGTGTTACAAGCAGGAGCTTAACTCACAACAGCCTCTGTGGTCAGTCATGGGGCAGCACCCAGCTTTGTGTGTGTGTATGTTTCTGTCCAGTTGCCTAGTCATGGCTAATGTTCTATATTTAAGGAAACTTCTCTCTGCATCCCATTTTATTCATTGGTCCCATCTCATCCCTCTGTCAAGACTGTGAAAGACCTCACATGGACACTCTACTTAGGGCCAACACATCAGGTCCCTCAGGACGGCACAGTGTCCGATCCAGTGGCTGCTGTGTGTCCCAGCCAAGGAACCCCAACCTTAAGAAACCCTGGTTTCGTGATGGGCTGCACACAGATCTATCCAAGCTTTGCCCTGAGAGGAAGAAAGGAAGCATTCTTTCTAATATGCTGGATAGCTTTACCTTCTATTAGGAAGTAGCTGCTCTCTCTCTCATTTCCCAATTCAAAATGCTTTTTTAAAATAAAAGATTTATTTTAATTTTTATTGGGAAGGCAGATACACAGAGAGGAAGAGAGACAGAAAGATTTTCCATCCACTGGTTCACTCCCCAAGTGGCTGAAAGGCCCAAGAGCTGCTTCTGGGTCTCCCACGCGGGTGCAGGACCCCAAGGCTTTGGGCCATCCTCTACTGTTTTCCCAGTCCACAAGCATGGAACTGGAAGGGAAATAGAGCAGCTGGAACTAGAACCGGCACCCACATGGGATCCTGATGCTTACAAGATGAGGATTTAACCACTGAGCCATCACGCTGGGCCCACCGACTCCCATATTGTTTAATACGCCAGAGCCAGCCCCTCTCCCTCACCATGCACATACACACACACACACACAAAAAAAAACCCACAGAGGACCATCTCCCAACACCCTCCTCTTATCCCCTCACCTATTATACCTTGGTCATACCAGGTGCCCTTCTGCCAGGTGTCATTGGTCTCTACCCTTCTCTTGGCTGGGGACAGTTTCCTGCCTAGCTGCCTTCCTGGGGCACTTCAGATTTCTGCCCAACATCACATCCTCAGGAGACACCCACACACCCACGGAGAGCAGGGGAAATGAAGAAAGGTGAACCAAAGGGCTTGAAGCTTTACTTGGACAGGAAGAAGGGGCTTCCTGAGATGCAGTGCCCAGCCTGTGACTATTGTTAGTAACGGAGTATTGTAGATTACAGCTTTGCTGAGGGAATCAATTTCAGATGTTCTCACCACACACTAAACAAAATGTTCATCAGTCTGATTGAATCATGCTGCTTTGAGTACATGGACCACAGCAGCGTTTTGCATTCCATACCATTAGAGGCAAGCTATAATAATATTTTAAATAAAACCACAGACATTTATATCATCACACTTCATCTTCTAATCTCCAAAACCTTTCTCTTCTGAATTTTACTTTCATAGCATTTATCATCTAATATGGAATCTAACTGGTTTACTGTCTGCCCATGAACAATCTCACTACATAGCCGTTAAAGTGAGAGGAAGTTTACATTGTATTTACTGGAGCCAGAGAGAGAAACAAGCTCTCTCCCCAAATGCTCACAGTGTCGGGGGCTGTGTTGAGGCCAGGAGTCAGGAGCTCTACAGCCACAGTCTCCTACGTGGGTGGCAGCAACCCAAGTGCTTGAGCTCTTGCCTGTAGTCTCCAGGGTGTGCATCAGCAGGCAGCTGGATTGAGGAGCCAGAGCTGCTTATTGAAACCAGGCGCTCCAAGATGGGATGTGTACATCTTACCTGCCCCAAGAAAGTAGATATTTTGGTTGGTTTCCATTAGTTTTCATAACCCTAGGACCTAGAACAGTGTCCGACATAGAGACAGTGCTCAAGAAGTATTCACTGAATGGGTGGATCCATCTATTTACTTGAGTTTTCAGTTGCAGACATAGTTTTGTACTTGGTGTCTGTGGGACAGTGCCTGGAATTCAAAGATAAGTTTATTCTGATGCTAACATTTTCTGAAAGATGTGCACATTTTAAAAATAGTTTACATAGTCCATGAACTTGTTGCAGTCTTCTGTTACTTAACGGTAGATCTCCAGGGGTATTGACAAAGTGGGACCATGAAGGGCCACTGCAGGCAGCCAGAGGGGAGAGGCCCCGCCGTGGGCGTCAGCAGAGTGTCTCCCAGGGTGCTGGGCATCTACATGCTGACACACCGACTGGTCCATCAGCACCTTGCACATTATTTTGTGACAGAGAAGCAGTTGTTATGTGGGCCAGCCTGAGTGGACCAAGGAGGGGTCAGCTTCCAGCAGTGATGGAAGTGGACATCACGGCCAGGGTGTCTGTGCTCACTGCTACGTCTGTCACTCACTTCCTGGAGGACTTGTGTCCATCTGCTCTGACATTGCTCTAAGCATCTGCACCATCTGTCTTCTGTCCCTCTTCTGCCCAGCAGGATTACAAATCTCTGCCCTTTGCCTGAGAGTGGCACCTGTTAATTCAACAATATTGACCAAGGGCCTTTGGCATACTATCAGCAACATCAAGTAACGGGGACACAAACAGAGATCCAACTGGAGTCTCTGCATATTGGCATTGGGCCTATTGGGTAAGACAGTGGCTTTCCCTATCAGTGTCCTGAGTTCGATTCCCAGTTCTGACTCCATCTTTCTGTAAATGCAGACTCTGGGAGACAGCCTCATGGCTCAAATGATTGGGTCCCTGCCCCCCAACATAGGAGATTAGGACTGAGTTCGGGCTCCTAGGTACAGCACAGCAGGAGACTGTCATGGGCATTTGGAGAGTAAACCAACAAGGGGGAGAGCTCTCTCTTTCTCATAAACATTTAAAGAGATTTAAAAGCAGAGTCTTTGTCCTCATGGAGTTCCACTCCAATGACAGGCACAACAGCAGGCATTAGGGGCAGTGAGGAAGTGCCAGAATGTACCCTATGTATTTGTTGAATGACCTATGAGCTGTGTGAGGCAACCGTAAAGCCAGTGCACAGCAGGATTGCTGCAGCAAGCTTTTTGAGATCTGAGACTTGACCTGCAATACAAGGCTGCTTCCAGAAGTTTACTGAAAAGATAGTTAAAAACATATTTTAGCATAAAATTTTTGGAAATGCATGCCTCATATTCTCATACTGCATATTTCCAGGAATTGTACAGCTGATAGTTCACCAATGGGTCTGCTTTCAAGAGCCAGCAGGTAGCATACATGATGGTGCAAACAGAGAGTGCTGGGACAGTGGCCACCGTCACTGCCCGAGTTCTGTGGATCATAGATGGCATGGAAGGGGAGGGCACCCCGGCGTAGGAGGCTCATGGGGCCCTTCCACAGCCACAGGGGTGCCCTGCCACTCAGCATCACCAGCCCCAGTGCTACCAGATCTTCTGGTGTTTTCGCTGATGTTAAGTCTGGAAAGCT